CGCCCGGGCCGACCCCCCGCGGGCCCCGGTCCCCTCCCTACCCGCTGCCGCGGCCCCTCCTCTCTGTGTAGGGGGACTTCCAAGGCCTGGAGTAGCTGCTGGGGCTAGGGGTATTTCTCCACGGCGGGGGTTGGGGGTGAAGTGGGGAACATCTCCAAAAAATAACAGGAGGGTGCTGCGGCCTTGACCATGGGAGAAGAGCTGGATGGGGGGAGGTTCTCCCGAACTCTGCAACCGCCCCTCAGCAAGTGGATCCTAACCCCATACCTCACTGGGACTTGGTATGGACTCGGGTGTTCCCGCAAAGATGGGGTCCCGCCCCCAAAACATCCAGATAATCTGGATATCGCCCCCAGCACTTCCTCTCCCAGAGCTGCACCCCTCCCCTCCCCTCCCCCTCCCCACATGCTACTCTCTATCCCGCCTCCAGCCCCAGCCTCCAGGGTCTTCCCTGGTCTGGAAGTCACTTAGACCCCAGGAGGCCCCCACTGTACCCCGGCCCAGGACACACCTAGGAGGAGCTCTGGGCCCAGAGTAGGGGGAGGGTGGGGCAATTTCCCAGAAGGACACCCCCCTCCACCCTTTGGCCCCGGGACCAGTATCCTGTCCGAGACTCTTTGTCCATCACGGATTATTGGGGGGCAGAATAGGCAGGGTGTCAAGGTGGGAGTGGAGTCTGCGAGGGGAGATTCCTAGAAAAGAGGGGAAAAGCAAAATGATGTAAAAATAAACTTTTGGAATAATTAAAAAAAAAAAAGTAAAGAGGGGAAAAGGGGAGCGGGAGCCCGGAAGACACGGGAATGGGAGTTGGGTGCAAGTCTTCCTGCTCTGCCTTCAGCAGAGGTTTATTTTATACATTTTAAGCAGGCGGAGGGATGACATTTGCATATGAAATGGGCTGAGATCATGATCACCCTTTTTTAAAGAATAGTCTGGGGTCCTATTGACCTTTAGTTGAGATTATAACATTTAAAATCAATCTATCCAGGTTAAAACAAGTAATAGATTTGTAACTGGGTGGTCCCTAGGAGAAGGGAAGTTCCAGGTTCCCTGCCCCACCCTGAAGGAGGGTGGAACTGAGCAGAGAAAAAGGAGAGAGAAGAAGAGAGGGAAGAAAGATGGAGAAAGAGACCTAAGGAAGCCACATGGAGCAGCAAACATGTGATGAAGAAACCGGGCTTGTTTCCTGACCCTGGACTGGCTAAGGCAGGTGTGGGTGAGAGACCTGTAGGGAGGTGACCATGGCAGTGTTTATATTGATTTTGATTTTGCTCTTTTCCTCCCAGATTTGTCTGGCCATTTCTGACCCTTTTCCATGGGTCCCGGCCAGAAGGTGCTTTAGTCTTGTGGCAGGCTTTCAGGCCTTGCCTTGGGCCAATCCCTTTTGGGTTGACTTTTGCCCACGAGGGGATGGGTAACTTCAGGTGTTTGATTTAGAAGTTACATTCTTTGTGTTCCATATTGTATATTCACTGTATTAAAGTCACTTTTCATTAAAGCTTTATATGTTTTGTCTTGTTGCGGCGGATGGCAGAACCCACTTAGAGCAGGCAGGTTTTGGGGCTTCAGGGGTGCCTCTCTCTGAATTGAGGTGCCCTATAACAGATTCACAAAGTTTAAGACTAATATTACTGTGCTTACCACAGTGAAGATTAACCAAAGTAAAGTTCCTTAAACCTTATATATTACTTAATGGCTTTCATTTTCATTGAGATATCCTAAGAGGTAAAGTAAATTGAGGGCAGGAAAAGGAAATTTTTTGTAAATCAAATTATGGTAAAGTTCTTTGAAAGTTTAAGTGAATTTTCTTGAAGTCTAGACAGTAGAAAACTTAATTGGCCCTGAAGAGGAGGCTTGGGTGAATTTCCTTATCTAAGGACTAGATAGTAGAATTCTGAAAACTTAGTTAGAAAGCTTAAGAGAAATCTTGAAGTTTAGGTAGTAGAAAATCTGATTTGCTCTGAATAGGTGTCTTGGGCGAATTTCCATATCTAAAGACTAAATAGCAGGAAGTTTGAGTGGATCTTTAGAAAATGAATAGAAGGTCACCTGGGATAGTACAGTGATGAGATTTGGGTTTTCCTCCAGCCAGTAAAAGAGTGTATTCCAGTACTTACTGCCTCAATATTGACTTTGTTATAATAGCCAATTGCTTTTATTAATCAGCCAATTGTAAAATCACTTTTGACTTCAAGAGGAATTCCTTGCCCTGGTGCAGTGCTTGCTTGTCTGGGCCAGGTAGCACCTTATGAGGCTAAGGCAATCCAGTTGTAAACTGAAGGTGGCTCAGAATATTTTTGTTGGGAATGACCAAAGAGTCACTGACAAGAACTGAATTAGGGCGGTAAAGAATTGAGCCTTGCATCCAAGCTTGATAAGGTGGTAATAAATTTGTAACAGGTAATAAATTTGTACTAGTAGGAGTCCATGAAACCTGTACCTGTTACAAATTGACCTTGCATCCAGGATGGGACTAGCTGAAGGTGATAACCAACTGGGCCTCACATCAAGGACACAGCGATGACTCACCCCTTTGAAATCTGAGCTCAGGACCTATATTGGAGACCCTTCCCCCTAATTGAGTTGGCCCTAGCTGCGGACCCCACTCTAGGGGCTCTGTTCAGCTGCTGTCTGGGAGCAATAAACTGCTTGCTTAGCCTTTCTGCCTCCCGCCTTTCTGTCTTTCGGCCAGTCATAGAAGTTGGGACAAAACAATTTTGATATTATGATTATACAGAAAAGGAAGGTCATAACATAAGTTATTTTACAGGACACCAAATCTGTTATAGGACAGGTCCTTCTTGTTCTCCATCCTGCTTCCTTCTTATAGAAGCCCCAAACCTGCCTGCTCTCCGCCAGCGTCAAGACAAAACATATAAAACTTTAATGAAAAGGGACTTTAATACAGTACGGATATACAGTACGGAACACAAAGAATATAACTTCTAAATCAAACACCTGAAGTGACCCATCCCCTCGTGGGCAAAAGTCAACTCAAAAGGGATTGGCCCAAAGCAAGGCCTGAAAGCCGCCACAAGCCTAAAGCACCTTCTGGCCAGGACCCATGGAAAAGGGTCAGAAATGGCCGGACAAGTCTGGGAGGAAAAGAGCAACATCAAAATCAATAGAAACACTGCCATGGTCGCCTCCCTGCAGGTCTCTCGCCCACATCTGCCTTAGCCAGTCCAGGGTCAGAAAACAAGCCCGGTTTCCTCATCACATGCTTGCTGCTCCATGTGGCTTCCTCAGGTCCTTCTTGTTCTCCATCCTGCTTCCTTCTTTTTTCTTTTTTCCTCTCCTCATTCCTTCTCTTCTCTCCTTTTCTCTCCTCAGCTCCACCCTCCTGGGTAGGGCAGGGAACCTGGAACTTCCCCTTTTCCTAGGGACCACCCTGTTACAGTTAGCGTGGAAAGTCTGATTTTTCAGAGCATTTCCTCTCCATTTGGAATATGTCTGTCAACAGAAGTTGCATAGCTTGTGTCAGTATCCATTCTCATTCTCAGGAGTCAGCATCAGGAGGGTACAGAGAGGGGCTGACCACACCCTTTCTGTGTGAAGGTGTGCTGTCTGCTGTCAGGGGCCCTCAGTGTGCTCGGCAGCTACTCCTCCCTTCACCTCCTTGCAAAGCAGAGGCCTCAGGGTGGGCCCTGCCCCGAGATTCCTCTACAGGTGGCCTGGGCAGCAGGCCCTGCTGGGATGGGCCTTGGGGTGTCACCACTGCCCCCTTTCTATGGAGGGTTCCTTGCTCCTGAGCCCGGTGGGAGCTGCAGGTGTGAGCTGAGCTGGGTGTTTGGTGTGTCTGGTGTCTGGTCTGGGCCTGCTGGTGTGGGGCTTATTTGTCCCTGGGGCCTGCTCCTGTCAGTGCCAGTCACTTCTGTCCTGAGCTCTGGGGCTGTCTGACTTCACCACAGACACTTACTGAGTGCTGAGGCAGCTATTCCCATCCCAGCCATCTACCCACCTTCCCCCCAAGGCCCAAGGCCTCATCTCCACCACCTCTGGTCCGTTTCCAGGGGCTTTTTCAAGCCGTGACCCTCAACCCTTCAGAGAACACTCTGTGTCTCAGATTTGGGGGAGGCTGTGTGAGGTCCTCTTCTTTCAGTCGCACCCTCACCTGGGTTTTCCTTCTCAGATGTGCATTCCCTTGGCATTAACATCAACATGACTTCTAAGACGCAGCCACAGTATGATACTAAAGTTCAAGTGGACGTGGATGGAAAGCCCTGTTTCTCCTATCACTGCCAGAGTGACCAGGTCACACCCTTCTGTGCTTGGGGGATGAAGGTGGATGCTCTACTCAGGGAGCATCTGAGGAAAATTCTGGAAGGCCTGACAGGAGAGTTCAGAAAGAAGCTTCTTGACTCTGAACCAAAGGATGCCCCAGGCAGCCGTGAGTGTGAAAGGCCCAAGGCTGAGCTGGCCTGGGTGAGGGAGCCATCCAGTCTCAGAAACAATGGCGGGTCCCAGCAGCCAGGGAGGACGGGAGGGCAGAGCAGACAGGGAGGCAAGGGACCTGGTGGGGGTCCTGGGGTGGGGGGCAGAGACTGAGCCCTTGTCCCGGGGCAGAGCCCCCGTCCCTGCAGGCCATGATGGTGATCCACAGGGAGGCCAGTGGACTCAGCCACGGATCCTGTCAGTTTGTCATCAATGGACGTGTCTCCCTGCGTTTCAACATGGTGAACAGAACCTGGACTGTGGGCGATTCTGGAGACGGGAGGATGTTGCAGAAGTGGGAGGAGGATAGAGACATGGAGGACTTTCTCTGGATGATGTCCTGTGAGGAATGCCAATGGTGGCTTAATAATGTTACAGCCCACTGTGCCATGCTGTGGATGACAGGTAACTGGGGGTGGGGTAGGGAGTGGTGGTGTGATTTTTAGATGAGTGAGTGAGTGTGTGTGTGTGTGTGTGTGTGTGTTTGCGTGCATGTTGGGACGTGTACCCCGCATCTGAGTTCTCCGGAGACAGTGATTAGGACAGGTGGGCTCTCCTCCTTCCCGGCCCCTTGCACCTGCCGACACCTTCCTCTCTGCACCTTTGTTCACTGCATGCAGTGTTTCCTGACTCTGAACATGGGCATCTTTCTGTTTCTTCCACTGCTTTCTCCTCAGCACCTCTTTTCTCCTCTCACCTGTCTGCATCTGGAGAGCATTAATTCTGCCTCCGTGTCAGCCCTGAGAGGACTCTGTCACCCTCCTGTGGTCCCGGCTCTCTGTCCTACAGGAGACACTGGTTAGTGAGCTCTTAGCTCACCCTCAGCTCTGTGCCCCTGGGGGTCTAGACTCTGTCTATATGTTCAGGACCTGCTAGAGGCTGACAGAGCAAAGGACATTTTTGCATTTTAGTGCACGTGGGGTAGGAGAGGCTGGGGTAATTCCTCTCCCTTATGGGGTCAGGACCAGGGTTTCGCTATGATTTTCCATTTCAGCATCACCGATCCCGACATCAGGCACGGGGGAATCCACGGGTACCCTGGGGAAGCCTGAATCTATCACTGCGATCATCCTCGCCTGCCTTCTCCTATCATATGCATTGTAATACAGAAGGTACCATGTGCAGCATGAGAGGGGTGGGAGGGGGTGTCTCGTGTGAGCAGGGCATGGACTCCCCAGTCAGGGCCCTCCTTCCCCGGACCTATCCATGGTGGACATGAGCCAGGTGAGAAGGGCTCGTCATTGGTGCAAGAACTTGGACAAGCACAGCCCTGACTGTGGAGCCCCCTTGCAGTGAAGCCAGTGGGGGTCCTGGCCCAGCCCTGTGCTGTCCCCTGGCAGTCTCCCACAGACACAGACCCCCAGCCAGTGCCCCTGCCTGGAGTGCTGGGGTCCAGGAGCATGGGCTGTGCTGGTGGGGGGACGCTGACAGCCGGGCTGGATGGGACCCAGGGTGTGTGGGACCCTCAGAGCCCGTGTGCAGCCCCAGTGTGGAGAGGCCGAGCCCGGGAAGAGGCTCTTAGCTGCAGCCCCCGGGCAGGAGGGACCCGCAGCCAGGCCGCCGCCCCAGGGCTCCAGTCTGACCCCAGTGGCAGGAGCAGCAGGTCAGTGGGCCTGAGCCCTGAGCCCCTCAGCCTGGGCTGACTCTGCTGTGGAGGGAGGGGGAGCCCCCACAGGCTGGGCCCAGGGAGAGGGGCTGGGGTGGGGTGACTGGGGAGGGCAGACCCAGGAGAAGGGACAGGGATTCCCTCAGCTACTGATTAAGGGTACAAACAGGGGTTTCTTTTCTGATGCAGATAAGCTGTATGGAGGAGCGCCTGAAATGTGTGAATTTCTGGGCGCTGCTCCTTCTTGGCTGCCTTTCTGGCTCCAGCTGCTTGTCCTGACTCAGGAGCTTTAGTCCTTGCAGGAACTGCAGATCCTTCTGAGAGGGGTGAGAGCCTTTCCGTTTTGCTGATTATCCAAGGCTACACCCCTCCTCCGGCCTGCAAGAGGACACCTTCTGCTGCTGATTTAGGGGTCTCTGCACTTGAATTTCTGGGCACTGCCACTAAAGGGCCTCCGCCAGGTGCTGGTCCTGACTCCTGGTGCTTCACTGTTCATCAACTGCAGACACCTGCTGAGAGGGTGAAACCCGGAAGCTCAGGGCCTTTGTGGTCAGGAGAAAACCCAGAGCTGCACCATACCCCCCAACCCCTCATGACCCCTCATAACCCCCCTCCCCATCTGGCTACCTTCTCCTGGTGCTGATTTGGGCGTCTCTGCACTTGAATTTCTCAGTACTTGAACAACACTTTTCAAAGGGGAGTTATTTATTCACCTTTCCCTCTACTGTGACAATCACACACGTCTGCCTTACCTTCCTCTGACAAATGAAGGCTCCGGTCAAACAGTACAACCTACAGAACCTCAGGGATCCTTTCTGTGGGGGTGGGGAGATCTTTTGATGGGACCCAATGTTTTCGGTACTGGTTTTTCCCCCCAAGGTAGCATATTTTTTAATTTCCTTTATTATATATTGTGTATACTATGGAAGAACATCTATAGCATTAATGTCTGCATTAATGTCTTTTTTTTAAATAAATAATAGTTTATTATTACATCATTTTGTGCCTTTTTCCATCTCAGTTGTAATGCCCGGGGGCTTCCCATCACCTAATCACCCATGTGCCATCACCGTAGTCCAGTGCATTTCCTTCCCCACGCTGTTTTTGACCCCATTCCCCACTCCACCCCCATAAATTGTCTCTGGTATATAACTGTTCATCATTATTATTATTATTTTCTCATGTGGTCCGTTATACTCCTGCTATGAGTGAAACCTGTCGGAGGCTTTGTCCCTGATCACAGATTATTGGGGGGCAGAACAGGCAGGGTCTCAAGGTGGAAACAGCATCAGCGAGTGGAGATTCCTAGAAAAAAGGGGAAAAAGGGAGTGGGCTCGAGGAAGACACGGGAATGGGCCAAAATATGAATACAAATCAAGGCATCCATGGCTGTTACTGTCTTTTACCTCTGGGTGGTTAATTATAAATGGCACCTATATAAATTCAAATTTTGTGCCTCCCTGCTGGCGCAGGGGTTAAAGACAGCACCATGAAGCTCTCTGCAGCCACGGCAGCAGGAGTTTGATCCCCAGCCAGGAGGTGACCCACAGGGCACAGCAGACCACTTCTTTCCTGCCTGCTGCTCCCCTCAGCAGTGTATTTCAGTCAATCTGACTGTTCTGTGCCCCACTCTGTCTCTGGTGAATCCTCTCACCTTCTGCATCTCTGGCCTGTACCCGAGTTCTTGGATGAATAAATGAATACATCTTGGAAAAAATTTGTTTTTGAGATTGTGGTCTACAATTTTGGTAAATAAGAACAAGTTCAAAATGTAATGGTTTAATCTGAAGCACGGATGCTAAGGTTATAGTGTCAGTAAATTGATATTTTATTCTGTGTTCAACTGTGCTACCTAGTGCCAGCCTCAGTTTCCCTCCGCTAATTAAAAGGAACAATTTGAGGAAGAGGAAAGTACTTTGTCGGAAAACTGAGGGGAGTAGCACACTCCTGTCTGAAAGACCAGGAGTCCTGCTCTTTGGCAGAGGGCAGGGGTATTTATGCAAAAGGCGTCCAAAAGAAAAATACTGGAGATGAGCAAGGGTCTGCACAGGGGCCTGGCTCCTTTCTCCGCAGGAGTAAGGGGTCTTGGGGGACTGGGAGGGCTGGCCACCAGCTCTGGCTTGTTAACCCCGTGTTCAGTGTCCACATTATCTTCTTAGGAGTGTCCTTTCCTTTCCTCAGGCTGCAAGAAGAGAACTTGTTAAACAAACAAGCTTGTTAGGATTCTTATTTGGTTGGGTAGGAAAAGAGACCTGTCCCTGCATCACTGCTAGAGACTGCTTTATTAAACACTTGCACCCTAAAAAATTGTGGCCCAGGAGGCCTCCTGGTCATGGTAAAAACAAAACATGGCACAGCAAAGCCTGGAACTGGGCTCCTCCCTAACTCACCTGCACTCCACCCTTCATGGGGTCCAGGCAATGCAAGTCCTGTCTTATGGTTCTGCGGTACATTTGGAGAGCAGGTAGCTACTCCATGCTTTGCCTCTGTCCTCAGCCTGTCCCAGCCAGTTATTCAGGGCACATGTCTATGGAACCTGGTAGATGATTTCACCAGACCTGTATGTAACTCCCCCCACCCATCTGTTTTTGTTAATCTCTTACCTCCCACACTTCTCCAGCACTGAGTTGACAATCCCTGTTCACAATCAGGCTTTTTAGTAAACAGACACAGGCTTGTGTCCTGTCAACCTTGCACACCCTGGGAGTGTGGATCATCCATGAAACAGCAGGAAGCCATCAATGAGAACACCCCCCAGTCTCAATTTGACTTTAAGATGAAATCACTCATGTACAAGAGGGGAGCGTTGTTGCTGGGTCCCCTCCACTTGGCAACAACAACAGAACTTCCTTCGATGAAAATTTAGGAACAAATGGCATTAAGCTTCGGCTTCCTTGGTTCTGTCCTGCCCCCTCCTCCTGATTAACTGGCCCCATCTGTATACCTGGGGAACACGGACAATTGGTTTGTTACATCCCTGGTAAAATTCTCAGTACTCCTGGGGTGACAGTGGCATTGATGTCAGAAAAGAACAGAGAACTGGAAGGAGACATCACAAGGTTAAAACCTGACTCATTCAAGGAGGTGTGGTTACTCACAAAACCATTAATCCCGTGGGAAAAATCAGGGCCATTAGCGCCTTATCACAAAGCAGAAGGCCCAAGCGGGTATCATGCACCAGGCTGCTGGTGTCAGAAGCACAGACCTGAGGGTAAAGTTACAGAGATGGGGCCATTGTGAATTTCCGGTCCCTTTAGGACTCCACATAGATATCCTAAGTCCACAAGGAGTGGACCGAAAAGAGAAAGAGAAAAAGGCTATGTCAGGGCAGTCTTTGCACCAGCATGGCGCAGCAGCCCTCTGCCCACCTAAGTGAGAAGCCCTGAGGTGCTTCTTCCCCACACCCTCTCTCCCTCTGCAGGGCAGCAGCCTATTGCCTGCCCTCACCTGCACCTGCCTGCCAGGACTTCTCTGCACTGACCTCCCCCAGCCGAGGCCGCTCACCTAAGGCTGCCTGCCTGCCTGCAAACATGCAGGCCTCTCAGCAAGCCTGTCCCTTCGGGGGCAGCTCTTCCTGCCTGCTTGTGTCTATGCAAGTGTCCTTTTCCCTAATAAACATGCTCTTTAAATATAACCACCATCTCTGTCTCGTGGAGAAACTCACCTGGGAACTCACCCTGTGCAGATGAAAGGAGAGAACTTTGAGCTCTGGTGAGACCTTTCCGGGAGTGAACCCAAGGACATCCCTCCCTCCTCCCATCCATAACCCCCAACATGACATCAGCATCAGACTCTGCTGATTGCTGAGAAGATCCCTGTAGGCAAAGTCAAGCTCCATGACTCCTGCGGCCTAGCCTGCTGGGCCCTGGAGTCAGGGTACACCGCATCGCTCACCTCCCAGCACTCCCGGATCAACACTCAGGAGCCAGCTATTCTGAGGTTTCCTGCCTGTCCGACTCCCAGAGGGCCATCTGTTATAAGCCCTGTACAGAGACATTTCTCCTGGTACAGAACGTGGCTGTGGGCACATGGGAAGGCCCAGTTAGGCCTTTCTCACAGAGATGACAGCTCTGGAGGGGATGAGGAGGGGAAGCAGAGCCAACCTCCTGGGACATTCTCTAACCACAGGTCTTGTCGTGGGGCACGGCCTTCTTAAAGTAGCCACCTAAAAGCCTCACCCCATCTTGAAGCTCACCCACCCTCTGGGGCGCATTCCCCATAGCAGCCCTCTGTTACTTGGGGCAGTAATTCCTCCCCCACTTCACCCTCTAGCTCCCTTCACCTCGGTTTTCCTCTTCCCCCTTCCTGGTCCTTCTCTTTCCCTTCATTTTTCACTCCCAGAATTGGTCCTACATGTAGGAAGGAGGAGGGAAAGTGCATATTCAGTTATAAGTTAACAGGTCACGGAGATGTAACATGTAATATTGATGGAGGAAGGAGCAGCAAGCAGGCTTCACATGATTGACTCACACAGGGTGTTGGGGGTGAAGGGGTTAGCACAGCTGTGGACCCAGCTACAGAAACCAAGAGCCTCAGGCGCCAATGCCTAGATGACAAAGCTTAAGATACAGGCAGGTAGCGCACTGCTGTAGGGGTGCCCATCACAGACCCTCAGGGAGAGATAGAGATGTGGACATGGAGCCCATAGTGGGGTCTCCTCTCCCTTTCAGGTTCTGTTCAAAGTCTACAAGCCCAGGCTCACAAGGAGTGAGCCGCTCCCAGGGAGAGGCTGTCTCTATCAGGGCCCTCTCTGCACCAGCACCAGGCAGCCCTCTGCCCACCTGTGCCTATGCAGGTGCTTCTGCCCACCTGTGCCTATGCAGGTGCTTCTGCCCACCCGCTCTCGCCCTCTGCGGGGCAGCAGCGTCCTGCCTGCCCGTGACCTGTACCATGCCGGGACTCCTCTGCACTGACCTCCCTCAGGGGAGGCTGCTCTCCTAGGACCGCCAGCCCGCGCAACCGGGCGGGCGGCTCTCAGCAAACCTGCCCCTTCCCTGGCAGCTCTTCCTGCTCGCTTGTGTCTAGGCAAGTGTCTTTTCCTCTCTTGTCTCTTTCCAATAAATTGACTCTTTAAATATAACTGAGTCTCAAAAAAAAAAAACAAAACAAAACTGAGTCTCTGTCTCCTGGAGAATCTCGCCATGCGCCGCTGAAAGGGGAGCTCTGGAGAAACCTTTCCCAGAGTGAACCCAAGGACCCGTGACTCCCAAAAATGACTCCAACTCTGTTTCCTTCCGGTACTTTCATGGACTTGCAGACTTCGTGGGGGGGTGGGGTGGGAGGGGCGGGTGATGATTGGTTGCTGGCATCACGTGAGCCAACATCATCTAGCTAGCCGAGCTCACCGGCTCCGGCGTGATTCATTCACCAGTCACACCTCCGTGAAGCTGGGTCCATTCGGAGGTGTTATGGCTGGCACCGCGGGCGCCTTGGTCAGGCTGCTCGGCCTTCTGTGGCTGTGGCGCTGCGCCCTGGCACTGGCCACCCCTGGGGCGTCCCACCTCAGTGAGTATCTGAGGGGCGGGGCACTCGAGGGGTTGGGCGAGGGTAGAGTGGGGGCTGGAGGGGCGCTGAAGACTTGGAGTCTGCACTAGGGCCACAAGGCGGGTGACCGGTGTCAGCGACCCGGCTGGGGCACGCGCATCCTCCCGCGGCCGCTGCGCCCAGGCGCGCGCTCTCCTCCGGTTTCCCACTCTGCGCGGCGGCCGCTGCGCCCAGGCGCGCGCTCTCCTCCGGTTTCCCACTCTGCGCGGCGGCCGCTGCGCCCAGGCGCGCGCTCTCCGCGGGTCCCTCCGCGGGTTCCTCTCTGCGCGTTGGGCTCCGCAGCGCTGTCCGCCCTCGGCGGGCCCCACAGCCGAGTCGCCAGTATCAGGGGCCACTGGACAGCTCGCGGACTCTAGGCCCGAGGGGCAGGACTTGGAAGGGGCGTTCTCTGGGTCCCGACCCGGTCTGCGCCGCCCGCTTTTCTGTAGCGAGGGCATCTCCGCCTCCTGGGTGTGGGGGCAGGTGGTTTTCTTTTCTTTTTTTTTTTTTTCTGTCTGGGGTGGGGTGGGGGAAGGACGACGTACCAAAAAAAAACCCAAACAAACAAGCAAACAAAAACTGACAAGGAAGACTAGGAGGGGGAAGAGAGGAGAGAGGGACGATGGCAAGTTCTGCTGAAGCAGGCAGTCCACCACTCAGTAGGTGGGAGCCCAGCCCTGCCCCTTGGGACATGGTCTGATCTGGGGTGTTCCCGCGAAGTTGGGATCCTGACCCCCAAACACCATATAATCTAGATATCCCCACGGCCATTTCCTCTCCAAAGCTCTACTCCATCTCCTTCCCCACACCCCTTTATGCTGCCTTCTCTCCTTCCTCCAGCCCCGGCCTCCAATCCCTTCCCTGGTCTTGAAGTCCCCTGGTCCTGCCCCAGGAGGCCATCACTGTGCCCTGGCCCAGGACACACCCAGGAGGAGCTCTGGGCCCAGAGTAGGGGGATGGGAGGCAGGAGGCAATTTCCCAGATCCCTCCCTGGGGTGAGGTGTGGAAGGACACCCCACTTCTACCCTTTGGCCCAGGGACCAGTGACCATTTTCAGGGAGACAGCTCACCTGAGGCTACAGAGGGGGCTGACCCCACTACTCCTCTGTGAAGGTGTGATGTCTGCTGTCTGATGCCCTCAGTGTGCTCAGCAGCTAACCATCCCCTCCAACTCCCCCCCAGCCCCTTCCCCCCCAAGCAGAGGCCCCAGGACCCTTCCAAAGACCAGGGACCAGATCTGGCTCTTCCTAGTGGCTGGCCTCAGGGTGGGTCCTGGCCTGAGATTCCTCCACAGGCAGCCTGGCTTCTGGTGGGAGTGACTCTGCTGGGGTGGGGCCTGGGGTCTCACCACTGTCCCCTCTTACTATGGAGGATTCCTTGCCCCTGGGCCCTGCGGGATCTGCATAAAGCTGCAGGTAGGAGCTGAGCTGGGTGCTGGGTGTGTCTGGTGTCAGGTCTGTAACTTCTCCTGGGGCTTATTTGTCCCTGGAGCCTGCTCCTGCCAGGGCCAGTCACCTCAGTCCTGAGCTCTGGGCCTGTCTGACTTCACCAGAGACACTTATTGAATGCTGAGGCCTTTGGACTCTCTCTTCCCCTCTCCCACTCCCAGCCCATAGCTCCCCTGCCCCCCAACCCCCGATGGCCCTCATCTCTACCAGCTGTGGTGCTTTTCCAGGGGCTGTTTAAATGCTGTGACCCTCACTCCCTGTATGTTTCAGAATGAGGGAGGCTCTGTGTGGGTGTGGGTGTGGTTCTTCCTTCAGCCTGACCCTCACCTGGGATTTTCTTTCTCAGATGCGCATTCTCTTAGCTTTAACATCACTGTGACTCCTAAGATGCAGCTATGGTGTAAGGCTGAAGTTCAAGTGGACAGAGAGCCCTGTTTCACCTATGACTGCCAGAGCAAGCAGGTCATGCCTGTCTGTGTTCAGGGGAAGAAGGTGGAGGATTCACTCATGAAGGAACTAGGAAAAATTCTGGAAGACTTGACAGGAGAGTTCAAAAAGAAGTTTCTTGACTCTGAAGCAAAGGATGTCCGAGGCAGCAGTGGTGAGTGTGGGTGGGGCTGGGTGAGGGAGCCATGGTGTCTCAGTCACAATGGTGGGTCCCAGCAGCCAGGGAGGACGGGAGGGCAGAGCAGACAGGGAGGCAAGGGACCTGGTGGGGGTCCTGGGGTGGGGGGCAGAGACTGAGCCCTTGTCCCGGGGCAGAGCCCCCGTCCCTGCAGGCCATGATGGTGATCCAGGAGGAGGCCAGTGGACTCAGCCGCGGATCGTGGCAGTTTGTCATCAATGGACGTGTCTCCCTGCATTTCAACATGGTGGACAGAACCTGGACTGTGGGCGATCCTGGAGACGCGTGGATGTTGCAGAAGTGGGAGGACAAATACTTGAATAAGTTTCTCTCGATGATGTCCAATGGAGACTGCAAGACGTGGTTTAATAATGTTATAGCCAACTGGGCCGTTCCGGCAACGACAGGTAACTGGGGGTGGGGTAGGGAGGAGAGGTGGGGTTCTTAGATGAGTGAGTGTGTGTGTGTGTAGCATGTTGGGTAGTGCAATGCTCACCTGAGTTCTTCTCAGGAGACAGTGGTTAGGACTGTCTCTGTCAGGTGTTCACTGTTAGGTGTTCTCTCCTTTTTCCTGGTCGCTGTCATCTGTCCCGTCACTTTCTGTCACCTCTTCCTCTCCATGGGCTGTTTGCTGACTCTGAGCATGGGCATCTTTCTGTTTCCAGACCTTTCTTCCACTGCTCTCGCCTTGGCATCTCTTTTCTCCTCTCACCTGTCTGTATCTGGAAAGCAAAAGTTCCACCTTAGCGTCAGCCCTGAGAGGACTCTGTCACCTTCCTGTGGTCGCTGCTCTTCTGTCCCACAGGAGACACTGGTTAGTGAGTTCTCGCTCCCCCTCAGCTCTGTGCCCCTGGGACGGGGCATCTCCTCTGTCCCTACACCCAGGACCTGCTGTAGCAGCTGCCTGAGGGAAGAAAATATCTGCATTTTGGGGTATCAGGGTGGAAGAGGCTGGGGAAATTGTTCTCACTTATGATGTCTGGACTTTGATGTTCCATTTCAGCACTGCCAAGTCCGACCCCATGCTCAGTCCCCGGCACAGGGGGGTCCACAGGTATCCTGCCTGAATTCATCATTGTGATTGCCTTCGTCTGCCTCGCCTGCCTCATCATATGCTTTATAATAATATGAAAGGTACTGTGTGCAGGATGAGAGGGGTGGGACTGGGTGGCCGATGTGGGCAGATGTGGAACCCCCAGTCTGTTTGCTCCCCTCCCTGGACCCGCACATGGTGGACATGAGCCAGGTGAGAAGGGCTCTTGTCACTGGAGCAAGCCCTGAGCGCTGAGCACCCCTGCTGTGCAGTCAGGTAGGAGAGGCTGCCCAGGTTTCGGGCCTTGGGGTTTTGAGGGTGTAGGATTCCCTCCTCACCTGGGTCAGATGTCTAGTCAGGAGGGGCCCCTGGTGGGTGGTGGGGCTAGCAGGAACACATGTCCTGCTTGTACAAGGCTTTGTGGGGCCACCCAACAGGGTCATGGGGGTCCCGGTGTGATGTGTCAAGGAGAAGGAGGCTCCATGGGGTTGCTCAAAGCAGATAGCTGGGTCAGATCCCTTGAAAAGGGGAGGAGTTTTCACAGACAGTGTGGAGTTCTGGCCGCAGCCCGCAGATGGCAGCTTGGATGGTTCAGGTGGAGGGCGGTACACTAGAGATGGCCCAGTGGGAGGTCAGAGGGCCCTAACTCTGAGCACCCCTGGGGGTCCTGGCCCAGCCCTGTGCTGTCCCCTGGCAGTCTCCCACAGACACAGACCCCCAGCCAGTGCCCCTGCCTGGAGTGCTGGGGTCCAGGAGCATGGGCTGTGCTGGTGGGGGGACGCTGACAGCCGGGCTGGATGGGACCCAGGGTGTGTGGGACCCTCAGAGCCCGTGTGCAGCCCCAGTGTGGAGAGGCCGAGCCCGGGAAGAGGCTCTTAGCTGCAGCCCCCGGGCAGGAGGGACCCGCAGCCAGGCTGCCGCCCCAGGGCTCCAGTCTGACCCCAGTGGCAGGAGCAGCAGGTCAGTGGGCCTGAGCCCTGAGCCCCTCAGCCTGGGCTGACTCTGCTGTGGAGGGAGGGGGAGCCCCCACAGGCTGGGCCCAGGGAGAGGGGCTGGGGTGGGGTGACTGGGGAGAGCAGACCCAGGAGAAGGGACAGGGATTCCCTCAGCGACTGGCACAAACAGGGGTTTCTTTTCTGATGCAGACAAGCTGTATGGAGTGCCTGAGAGTGTGGATTTCTGGGTGCTGCTCCTTCTGTGCCTCCAGACGTCCAGGTGCTGGTCGCCCAGGAGCTTCAGTCCCTGTAGCGTCTGGGGACACCTGCCGAGAGGGCTGGCCTCAGCCCAGCACTTTCAGGTTGGAGATATCCAGCACTGCATCCTGCCTGCTGAGTCCCCTGCTCTGGGGGTGATTTGGATGCCTCTGGCCTATGGACTTCCCACTACTTTTCTTTCTTTCTTTTTTTTTTAAAATATAATAGTTTATTTTTACTGCATTTTGTACATTTGTTTTTTTATCTCAATTGTAATCCCTGTGGGTTTCCCATCTCCGAGTCACCCCTCGTCTGACTACTTTTCAAAGCGAGGTCATTTCACTTCTCCTTTACTGTGACAGTCAGACACATCTCGGCATCGTCGACCTTCCTCTGACAGATGATATGTTGGGTGAAACCTGGGGTGACCTTCAGCACCTCCTGCCCACCGGACTAGATGGCTGGAATTCCGTTCACCTGGTGACTCAACTCATAGACCAGCTATGCAGGGCGGCTCCTTATCAGGGGGACTCCTGTCCAGAAGTGAGGGTGCAGGTATTTTAAATTTCACAGATGCACAGGATATATTTTGTATTTTATATTTGTATTATATCTCTGGGAGCTTTTCTACCTATTAGTATCTCACATTTTCTCCCATAACTTCAGAAAACTTCAAAGGTCCTCATGTATTTGTCGCAGCTCTTTATGAATGGACAAGTTAGTGAAAGGTTGGTGCATGGAAAAGAAACATAGTGGGAGAGCATTTGGTATTAAGATAAGCAGAGTTTGTTTGCACTCTCGGGCGAGGTTCAGGGACTCAAAGAGGGAGTCCAAGAAGGGAAGGGTTTTTATGCTCATCAGTGAGAGTGAAGAGTTGTTTTTTGGAGTTTAGTTCCGGGTGTTGTTTGTGCAGTTACTGCTGATTCGTATGTAGGATCTTCCAGCCATTGCCCACACCCAGTTCCAGGTACCTATGGGCATAGATACTGAAGTCTTGGTTCCTGGGCCCTGAGGCCTAAAAGTTAGGAAGAAGGTACAGGTAGTTAGTTCAGAAAAGGGTGCCTCAGCCCCCAGTCCGGATGACCCAGGATTATTTATCAGTCTCAGTAAGGAACAATTGATGGGAGTTAGCGGGCCCCCAGCCCCATTAAAAATGCAGTGTTTAGCAAGGAGCTTCCATATGACCCAGCAATTCCACTCCTAAGTATCTACCCAAAAGACACAAAAACACCAATTCAAAGAGATACCTGCCTGCACCCCCATGTTTATTGCTGCTTTATTTATAATTTGAAAGACACGGAAACAGCCCAAAGGCCCAAAAGTGGATGACTGGATTAAAGAGATGTGGTACATATACACAATGGAATATTATTCAGCAACCAAAAAAAACCCACATGCTTTTTGCAGCAACATGGATGGAGCTGGAGAAGATCATGCTTAGTGAAATAGCCAGAAAGAAAAGGAAAAACACCAGATGGTTTCACTCATAGCAGGAGTATAATGGACCAGGCAAGAAAGTAATAATAATAATAATAATGGACAGTGATATACCAGAGACAATTTATGGGGGTGCAGTGGGGAATGGGGTCAAAAACAGTGGGGGATGGGGAATGCACTGGACTATGGTGATGGCACACGGTGATTTGGTGATAGGAAGCCCACGGGGATGACAACTGCGATAAAAAAATGCACAAAATGATGTAAACATAAACTATTATTTATTGGAAAAAAAAATTGCAGTGTTTAGAACACCAGCACAACACAGTGCTGAAGCATGGGGCCAAAGCTGGATTTGGAAGGCAGGCCAGGTAATCTGGCAACTCAGCCCAGAGACCCAAAGGCCCAGCCAGTGTCCTTCCTAGTTACCTTGCTTTTCTTCACCTTTGGTCTGGATGTTGAATTCTTTATTTGCTGTAGAGAAGAACCCAGAGCACCATCCTGGGGGCCCAAGAACCCTCAAAACCCCAACTTAAAACATGATCTGATAAACACTATGGTTCAATCTTCCCAGATAACTGGAATTTCCTTGGGAGCTGGGCTGAGGAATGTCCTCATGTGGGGATCCCTTCTTGGAGAACCAATGTGGACACCAGTCTCGACCCTGTGGCTGAAACCTGCCTCCCGCCCCCAGTTCATCAGGTGATCGGCCCAGCTGTCCAGTGGGGAGCCCTAGTGTCTCCCTGTCCTGCCCTTATGAGGCAGAGAGTGTAGCAGGGGAGAGAGAGAGGAAGGTTGGGGTGTGACCCCTGAGTCTCCCAGGAGCTGGAGCCCTTTCTATTAATGAGCCAAATGGGTGAGGCTTTCCCGCTGTACATTCTCCATCCAGGCAGGCCCAGCCCCTGTTGACCACACACCCCTGACCATGTGTGTGGGTGGGGGGATGGGGGAGGCCTGTCTCAGGTATAGGGACTAGCTCTACAGGACAGGGATGTAGGGTCGCAGCAAATTGAATGAGCAGGTATAATGGAGATGAGAAGGTTCTAGTCCACTCACTGGAGCCTCTACCCAGGCAGGGCCTTTCTGGGTGGGTTAAAGATGAAACAAATCCAGGCTAGACCTTGCTGGGTCCATGTGAGCGGGTGAGGGCGGGGAACCCATGCCCAGGAGTGGGGGCAGGAGCCTGGGCAGAGTCCCTGGGAGGAGGCTCCTGGCTGACTCAGCCGGTGAGGCTGGTGCTGTGGACCCGTGACTGGGAGAACAGGAGGAGGCAGAGGGAGACCTGGCAACCAGGGGTGGGGGAGGGCCGTGTGGACATAGGGCATCCTTGGCTCACCTCAGTGCCAACCCCCAGAACCCACTCATCAAACCAGGTGAGGTGGGGTGTTTCTATCCGCGCAGATGGAGACAGGCATCTGGCGCGCACCGGTTCCTTACACTCTCCAAGCGTGACTTTCCACATCTGTGCAGTAGGAAACGGCACTGGAGGGAAAGAAGCCACCAGCAGGCCCCGCAAGGGACCTGAGCAGGGACGCTGAGGCTGGTCCCAGTCCCTCGTCCAGGGGCAGCTGCCTTCCCTGAGGTCCAGGCCAGGGTCCCCAGCAGGGGTAGGCCATGCACTGCAGACCAGAGCGTGGCCGCGTGTGTGCTCATCTTCCTCTCCTCTGTCTCTGGGTCACTTGACAGGTGGAAATGGGGCCACAGAGCAGGGTACACAGGCCAGCCCGGGGCTTCCCAGACTCGGGGTGATGGAGCTACAGTCCTGCCAAGTGGCCTGAAATATGCATTTTAAGTCATTCCAAAGTTGTTTTGTTTGTCATGAAAATCTCTAATGTTCAGTTTACATTTTATAGACACTACAAAAAAGGGTAGATTTTGCAGAGATCCACTTTCTGTTTTCTCTAAAATTACTTAGACTTACTGATTTTGGAATAAAACAATATCCAAGCTTTTCAGTTTTGACCCACTCCACTATCTCTTCGTCCTTTTCGGCTCATCAGGCTTAAAAGCAGAACAGCAGGCGGCTTTCCTGCCCATGGGGTCTGCACAGGCATCTCTTTCTTTCTTTTTTTCCTTTCCTTAATAAACGTGGCAAGTGCAGATGTAAAAACCAACAAACAAGGGCCGGCCCTGGTGGCACTGCGGGTTGGCACGCTGCACTGCAAGGCTAAGCCACGCCTCGGCCGCTTCAGCGAGAGTTAGATCCCCGCCCTGGAGGTGACCCACATGGCGCAACAGACCTCTCCTGCCTCAGCGGCTGCTCCCCTCAGCAGTGTGCTTTGTAGATCTGCCTTTTCTGCCCGCACTCTTTCTGATGAATCTCTCCCGCCCCTGCACCTCTGGCCTGTACCCCATTTCTGTATGCATATATAAACACAATCTTAAAAACAAACAGAACACACACAGATCAGTGAAATGTGGGTGGGCCACCCCCGGAGATTTCAAGAAGTCAGGTCCCCGAAATCCACTCTGGCTGGGACAGGCAGGAGCTCCCCAGAGCGTGACCGCGTCTGTGGTCATCTTCCAGGAGGTGCCCCCGGGCTAGTGTGGGTTCCCATGCCCAGGGGGTCCCCACTGGACAGTGTGGGTCACACACCTAGTCATGGTGTCTGTCAGGGCAACGTCCTCGGCGTCGGGGGCGGAAGGTGTGAGAGAGTCTGACAGGAGACGCCTCCCAGCCCGGCGTGGCGGGAAGGGGCAGAGCCCCGGCCCCCAGGATGTTCCCACTGTCAGTCACAGGCACAGAACCTCAGTCGCTACTCCTGTATCTGTTACTTATCAGAAAATAATGTTTGTTGTGGAGAAAAATTGATATGAAGCCACCATAAGAATAATAGTCCCCTGACGAAGCCCTAACGCGGAGGGAGACCATAGTTAATATTCTTTTATATTCGTTCTAAACACCACACAGTCAACTTGCTGTATTACGAACACCACACAGTCAACGTCTTCTGTCCCTTAATCAAAGTTGGTCTGAAGGCTGCAGGCCTGACCCACCGTTCAGTCAGAGAACTAAACCCAGTGTTTGCAAACGCAGACACCAGCCTGCAGGGGGCAGCAGAGACCGTCGCGCCCTCCCGGCCGGCGCCCCTGCAAACAGAAAGGGCACCCCAGGTCCTCTCAACACTTTGGTTCTTGAAGGTTGATGGCATTAGGATAGAATCTCCTAGAAAACTTGTTAGTATAGGACAATCAGCTACTGTTCGCCCAAGTCAGCAACCTGCAGCCTTCAGAAGGAAGGAATCTGAAGCCAGAGTGGCGTTGAGAAAAGTGGGGGACCAGGAAGGGATGGAGGCAGAGGGAGGCCGAGGTTGTGGCACAGAGGGAATGGATGATGATGCAGGACACCAGGGAGAAGCCACTCCTGGGGGTTCTGGGCAGGCTGAGGCTGAGCCCCAGTTCTGTGTTTGCTGTTCCTGGCGGTAGCTGCAGTGGAGGAAACAGAGTTTATCTTCCTGCTTCTGCGTCTGCTACCACAGAAGAGCCAGAAACGTGCCTGTTCAGTTTGTGGCCTGTGGGTGGAATGAACACGACAGCGTGTGAGCCCGACATGTCTGGGCTGGGTCACCCCTTCCCCCCAAGTTTAGGGGTCCTGAGAGGGACCCCTTAGGGAGGGATGGGGAAAGCTGGAGATGATCAGCAATTTCGCTGCCTCCTGGGTCCTGATGACAGGTGTGGAAGGGGGTGGGGCAGTGGCCCAGGTGAGCTGTGGTCAGGAAAGGAGCAGAAGGAAATATGGCAGGACACGAAGAGG